TCTGCGAGATGCAGGAGTCGTGGATGCGCACTGCTGATGAGTCCCATGCCAGGACGAAATGGCTTTCCAGTGCTTCCAGGTTTCTAATGGCGGTTTATCAACGATTGATTGATGATTTCAAATAGGTAGAAAACACAAACCTCCAAAACGCTAACCGATAATCCTGTTATGTCAAAAATTAATCCGAAGAAAGCCAACCGATTAGAAACTGCTTATTCAGTTGGTGGATTACAAACGAATACTTCGAAAAGTGAATTAAACTAAATATTCTCCTCAGACTCAACTCTAACTCACCCCATTCATAAAAGTAGTATCAAAAACTAAGTTCTTAAAGTGTTGGTCCCGCTTTTTTTAAAGGGTCTTACCGCTGGAGAACGAAATCCGTGAGGTAAGGTAAGGTGTGACATCCTTAGGGTCGATCTTTTATAACACTTCCTTCCTTGTGAGAAGGCAGCATCGCTGCAGATGCTGGTTGTCCGAGGGGAACACCTTACTGCTGTCACACCCTTCTGCAGTCAGCAGTACAACTTTGCCCTCAGGCCTTGAGCTGTTTTTGGTCTTGTCGTTCTCTAATTGACCTGCCTGACATGGTAAAACCTACAGGAACAGACATTCCAGTCAACGTAGCTCGGTTAGGTCGTCACAATAGGCTATCCCGACCACCACGTCAAGGTAGCACCTATCCAGGAGATCGGATCGATGAGAAGAACACTATAGGGATCGATTCAACTGGCCTACGGCAACATTTCAGTTTCCTACGATATACAGTTATCCTGAATGGTAAATCGATGTAATGTAATCGATGTATGAAGTTGAAAAAGCTATAAGATCAGAAGGCTCTGATAAATTGACCCGTTAGATACCGGCTCAGTGGTCCAGAGGTTAGGTGTTCGTGCGCAAGACCGAAAGTCGTGGGTTCGCACCTTGCGAGGTGCAGGAGTCGTGGATGCGCACTGCTAATGAGTCCCATACCTGGACGAAACGGCCATCCAATGCCTCCAGGTTTCTAATGGTAGTCTAACATTGATCGATTAATGATTTCAAATGTGTAAATTATTTTATCGTTATAGCAAGGTTAGTCCAGAAAAGTACATCACATAAACGATTACATAAAATATATTATCCCCGATACTGAAGAGATGCTTCGCAAGTCAAATATACAAGGTAAAAAATAACTCAATCATCACATGAATTTGATGATATTATCTTAGACAAGTGGAACCAAACTTAAGCTGTCGGGAAACTCTGTGAATGGTGATAACAAAGGTGAAATAGATGCATTTTTTAAATTCAGCTTGAATGTGCAGGGAATCCCGGAATCTTAACGCTGAATTACCTTCCTGAGTTTTGACCACCAGATAATGTTATTAGCTAGTCCAGAAAATAATAAGAAATGCAGTATATACGATAATTAATTACAATGTGAATCATATTTTTTTACCTCAACCAAATTTATCCCGCTGTCAAGAACTGATTGAATGAGTTGTATGGCTGAATCCTGAGATATAACATTTAAACTAGTTTTCGACCTGATAAAAAAAGCAATTCAAGTGAAATAATTCAGTATAATTTAAAACTATTCTGAAAACTTAATGCAATGCACTAAAATAAACGACTGATGAAATATTGGCGGATAATTTTCAGGTAAATGTTTACCGAATTACATAAGAACTGGACAATAGTTTATGAAGGTAGATAATATATGTTTTTTATTGTCTAAGTCCTCTTGCTCTATTGATGTAAAGTGTCGCAGCTGTAGCTGGTGTATATTCACACTAGGTCCTAGGTTGCTTATGGCTGAATATGCAGAAGGTAATAAGCATTGTTTTGAATTTTCGAAAATGATCAGTGTGTTTGATAAACTAAGTCTTGCTAAATGATCTTATTACTAAGATACTAAGGGTCATATAGATGAGCAGATACAAACATAGAAAATTGCCTAATAATGCATATCAATGTTACCTGGATAGATTTCAAATCATATTAAATAGTGTCAAACCATAGATTACCGACAATCTCTTATGATTACAACCAAGACATCTGACGTTTTGAACATCATTCAGACAACAAAACGTAACTAGATACTGATAACAGAATAACATACTCACTTGTCTAACATTTTCTCTGTAATGTATACAGGACTAATTACATGGACAATTGCAGAGATCCAATCACATTTACTCAACATCTCTTCGAGAAGTTTCTCACGTTGTTTTTCACTTAATGCCTTCGAATCTAAATTTCAGTGAGACAGAAAGAAAAGATGGAACATTATTATGAAAAAAGTATTATAAATATGAATGGTACTGATTAGCGTTGATAGATTATTTATGAATACTTACCAGCAAGTCCAATAGTTTTTAGTTCATTCAGCCGATTGATTGGCGATAGAGCACATGAATAAACCATAGGGCCTACACATTAGATAGAAAACGAAAAGTATTTAAATTCGTCGAATATGATTACTTTGATAGAGAACGGTTTAAGAATGCAATAATGCACCAACTTACCAAGGACTGGACCTCTCCCAGCTTCATCGATTCCAAGCATGCATTGGCTTGACTTAGTAGATATTTTCAAAAAATCCAAAAAGTCAAAGTTGTAATTCTTCTTGCAGTTAGATGCCGCTTCAAACAAGCTTGTTTCATATCTAGCCACAGCTTTTGGTAAACTGCTGGATGAAGAATCGTCATGTTTCATTATTGACTCATCATTAAATTCATTGTCCAAAATCTCCTAAAATACAAATAGATGACTTGGTGTTAGAAAGGCATAAATGCACACAGTACGAGAATGTTGACATATAAGTAACTGGGTACCAGGCTTCTGAAAATACAATCCTCAGGTTTGAGAACTTACTTGATTCACGTTATAGTGCTAGTGATACTAGCCAGTTGTAACTAACTGAAAGTGGGACGAGGGTTCAGACGTGAGATATGGAACACCTCCAGTGCCGGATATATGTGGTGGTTGTTAAATTATGAGTTCAACTAAGTTTAGTTTGCTGACTCGAAATTGTTACCAAGTGTCAACAATTATAGTTCCTACTGAAACCCATAGTAGCAGGTTGTTTGCGACTTAAGGCTTTTTAACGACCTACAGGACTTAAAAGAGCTCTTGCATATTTTTTTACTCTTTTGAACAGACTTACATTCATTCTTCCATAGGAATAAACAGGTTACCTAACAGATTTCAGCTTTTTTAAAATCCACCAACTATCTGAAAAGTCAAAACTAACACCAATGTAGTGTCAGTGTACTACCTGTGAGACAAGATCTTGTACGGGTACCTTACACTTTCAATAGTTCAGAAACATACGATTCTGAGCAAATTATATCCTAACAAAGTAGATACCAGTCACTCGATAAGACTACTTGATACTATAGTACTTAGAATACTGATTAAGACATGTAGATACTGAAAATTGGAAGATATAGCATGGGGTGGGCTGAAATTCCCCTGATAAATAACTATTTAGTTTAGGGAACATATTTTAACAGAAATCCTAGTTCTACATCTATAGGGTTGAGAATCAAATCATCACTGATAATTTAATTGAAATTTAATGATAGTTTGAACAAAAAATGTAAACACTAAGCTGGTGAAGTATTACCGTATTTAGGACACGCATAACGTATGCCTAAACACTACCTACTCAAAGTGCGATGTTGGTTGGTGCAGAAGTAGACTAGAGGGAGGCTAGGTGTCTTAATATATCTTTAGGAATAATTCCACACTTCGTAAATGAGACTTAACGGGTATATTATACAGAGGTGTAACATCAAACCGTCACCATTAACATTAACCCAGGATTTTCACTACCTTTGAGGAAATCCATTAAATTTCATTAACAAATCCTGAACGTATCTGACTATTTCGTGGGAAGACTCCTAAAGTAGCGAGACTATTTCTCAACGATCCCCATTATGGGGAAAATTTTCATCAGTTAAGGCCTCTATCTTCGCAAAATTCACACTGAAAGGCCCATGAACACGTACAATCGTCATCTTTTCGCTAAACTGAACGGATAAGTACAATTAGGAAGTTTGCCTTTATTTTCTCATGTCAGACGATTTATCTGAACAATTGACATGAATCGGGAAGGAGGTGAACTGGAGTACAATTTATTCGGGACTTTTACACAGAGTTGTTCCCACCGTAGGTATTACCTTGACGTGATGGTTGGGATTGCCTACTGTGATGATCCAACCGAGTTACATTGGCTGGAACGTATGTTCCTGTAGGTTCTATCATGAGAGGCAGGTCGACTGGAGAATGGTAGCACTAAAAGTAGCAACTCAAGGTCTGAGGGCGAAGTCGTACTGCTGACTGTAGAGGGGTGTAGCAGCAGTAAGGTGTTTCGCTCGGACAACCGGAACCCACAGCGGTGCTGCCCTCTCACGGGGAAGGGGTTAGATAAGGTCAACCTAAGTGCCACACCTTACCTAACCTCACGGATTTCTGTCTTCGAAGGTAAGACCATTTGAAATGTCGAGCTAACAGGTTAACTTCCCATGAAAAAGGCCGTACGTGACCAGCCTCAAGCAGCTGTCCACTGGTCTCTGCAGTTACGCTCTCAGGCCTTTGAAACCAACACTAATCCGATTTTCTTCACAGGCTCCTCAAGAAACACCCCTGAACGGTGTGGGCAGCCGAGAAGTGACATCAGATCTCATGCCCGTAACAGCAGACGACACTGACAGACAGTTATCAATAATAAGTACACAAGAAGGATAGTGAAACTTCAACATTGGCTTCAACCATTATCTGAAAACAAAGTAAATATTAGGTTTACTTACGTATATTAACAACAGATAATAGCATGCATTCCAAGCTTAGCTGCTCCATTTAACTACTTTCAACAAACTGCAGGCAAGTAAAAGAAGTCAAGTAGGTTCGGAAACATTTATTCAGTAAAAGCTTATAACATGAAGGTTAAGTTGTCACAGCAACAAAGTTCTCATCTACTAGGACCATTTCCATCCCTGAGATTCTGAAACCGAACATAATACGAGTTAGAGATCTGGTCAAACGCTGATTACAGAATTGTTGCAAAATACGGTCAGACTTATTGTTAAGTCGCCAAGAGTAGAAACCTGCACCTAAAAAATTTAAAGAAAAGGTATAGAATGAAAACTGTCACTTAGAAAAATATCTGCTTAGTGAACAACTGAAATTGTAATGTTAATGTACCTTCTGAATAAAGGAAACTAAAATGTAGCATTAATTCTTAAGCAGAAAAAACAGTTCTAGAAGATAGTCAATCTTCTTTAAGTGCCCGCCATAACAATTGCGAATTCAGGTTTCGTCACATGTGAGGCGGGAAGTGACATCCGCCCTCATACCCGTAACAGCACACGAGACCGAATCCGTCACAATCAAATGCTTCCTACACCCCCTAACATCTCCGTTGTCACCACGCCTCACCGTTCTCACGCCCCTTAACAACTTGCACTACTAATGCAAACGACTCGAATTCATGAAACATTATTCCTGGTCTCCTGAAACACCGTTCTAAACTACATGTTGGAGCATTTAATTTACGAACATTGTGTCAAATAGAACAACAGGCTTCATTAACTAGGACTTTAGAATCTCGCTCTATTGATGTATGCTGCGTCTCAGAAACACGCATACAGGATCCGAGTAGCGTCATTCACTTGACTTTACCAAGTTCAGATAAAGAAGCGACTCGATTTAACCTTCGCGTATCTGGAAGTCCCGATGCTGCTTCCCAGCGTCTCGCTAGTGTAGGTTTAGCATTGAGTCCTAGGACAGAACTAGCTCTACTAGACTGGATCCTAGTTGATAGTCGCTTATGCGCGGGACAGTAAGGACTCGGAAAGATAGGGACACTCATCGTTGCCTCTTCGTCGTATCTGCCTACGCTCGAACTGACTGCAGTTCAGACGAGGTGAAAGATGAGTTCTACAGAAAGCTTCCGGACCTCCTCCAAAAAGTTAGGCACTCTGATATAGTACTAGTGGCTGGTGGCTTTAATGACCAAGTAGGTAGACTAAGTGAAAAGGAGAGACAACTGGGTGGATCTTATGGTGTCGCGGCTAATAGAACAGATAATGGCGACCGTCTGCTGCAACTGTGTTCAGATAATCGCCTATTTCTAGCAACTAACTTTAAGCATCAGGAAAAACATCTTTTGACCTGGCGACCCCCGAAGTCGTCTCAAAGTTGGACCCAACTAGATCACTTCACCATCAACCACTGATGGAGGGGTTCGATAGGGGACTGTCGTTGGTTCTGGGGCATATGTTTAGATTCAGATTATGCACTAGTGCAAGCGCGTATTTGTTTAAGGCTTGCTGGACTTAGGAAAGACACCGTAAGGAAGCCTCTTATGGTTTTACTTAATGATAATAAAGCTAAGAATATATTTCTAAAACAACTAGAAAAACAGTTAGGCGACAACGTAAGTGATTCTCATTCGTAGGCAGCTAGGAATGATATCCAAATAGCTGTGGAAACAGCAGTGATATCTGCTATCAAGGTAAACCATAAGTCTAGGAAGAAGCCGTGGATCTCAGTAGCATCCAACGAACTGATAGATTGGATCGAACGGCAGAATACTTCCAGGATAAACTCAATTGGCCTTGAGCCACAATTCGGTTGCCCACGATCTCCAGTCATCCTGAGTTGCAAAGTGACTGAGACTCTGCTTGAAGTTGAAAAAGTTATAGGAAATCTTAAGTGAGGAAGAGCTTCACCACCTGACAGATTTAGCAGCTAAATGGACTGAGATCTTAGGTAGAATATGGGAACTGGGCGTCTCAATCACTCATTGTCCCAGTCTACATGAAAGGACAAAAGTCCACTTGTGACATTCACAGGAGAATCAGTCTAACTAATATAGTTTCTAAATTGTTAGCCTCAATCATCCTTAGACGCCTAACTAGAGATTGTGAAGAGCAGACTAGAGGAAACCAGGCTGCTTTCAGACCTGGACGTGGATGTATAGACCAAATATTCACACTACGACAGGTCCTAGAACAAAAACACTTTCAGACACCCCACAATAGTAGTATTTCTCGACCTAGAGACGACATTTGACTCTGAAGATCGTGAGGTTCTGTCGCAGTCTGTCACTAAAAGGTGTACCAAAGAAGTACATTGAACTTATACAAGTTCTACTTGGTGAAGACGCAGACAAAATGCAGTCTTCTGACTATCCTGAGCAACAATGCAAGCATGTTCAGGATGCGGCTTCCCCCATCAAAATACAAACTGTTGCTTCAAGATTGGGTTGCATCGGCACCTGAACTAGTGATAGGGAGTGAAACGGTTGGATGTGTAGACCGCTTCACTTGTCTCGAGAGTCTCATCAGTGCCGATGACCTGGTACTGACGAAACCTCAGAAAGGATACAGAAAGCTCGATTGGCTTTTGCCAACTTGCATCATTTATGTCATAGAGGATTATATACATCTGCTAACCAAAGGTCGAGTGTACTGCGCAGTAGTTCGCTCCGTCCTACTTTATGGCTACGAAACATGGCGAGTCAGAGTAGAAGATATTCGTTGGTTGCTGGTTTTCGATCATAGGTGTCTCCGAAGTATTGCTCGTGTATCCTGAGACAACCGAGTAAACAATGCTGTTGTTAGGAGACGGGTGCTAGGTGTAAGAACAGCAGATCAATAGATGAAGTAGTGAAACTTGATCAGTAGAGGTGGTTGGGACGTGTGTTA